TGTGTGTGTGTGTGTGTGTGTGTGTGTGTGTGTGTGTGTGTGTGTGTGTCTGTGTGTTTTGACCCTGTGGTGGCAGCCTGTTGACATCTGTGGAAGAATTATCCATTGCAACTCTCACTGACATCAATCACACCACTCGATAGGCCACAGCAAGTTCATTCAGGGCAGTGTGTGTGTGTGTGTGTGTGTGTGTGTGTGTGTGTCTGTGCTGGTCAAAACAGTCTTTAACAAATTCAGGAGGCGGTCACTTAAGCAGCTGACCTCAGACCACGCATCAACCCATATATGCCAGTCACACACATATCATGAGCCACAAACAAGGCTCTATAATAATTACCAAGAATATGACTTTTGTGTACGTGATAATCAAATTGTGCCGGATGTTTTTTTCTTATTGACATTTAACGATAATTCATTTTAAATTAAAATAGTATAACTGAGTGAAGCTGGAACAGAACTTGAAAGAAGCAATTTGTCAATTTTACAAAACGCAAAACTGAACTTTTCTTTTGTAAAGGGAAAGAGAGCTGCCAACCCAGGAGAGACAGAGAGGCAGAGAGAGGGAGAGATTGTAGTTCACCACTAGCCAACAGAGGGAGCTATGGGCTCTGGTCAGTTGATAGCCAACTGCAGCACATACACACTTATTAGTTGTGTGAGTGCATGAGTGCGTGTTTCTCTATACAGCATACAAAATGAAATAATCTTAAATTAAAAAAATCATACCAATAATACAAAAAAAATCATATATGACATCCAATTTCATCAAGGAACCAAAAATCCTCTCACACACAACACCCAGCCACACACACACACACACACACACACACACACACACACAGTTCTACTGCCTGCAGGGATGAGAGAGAAGTTATCCGATAGCTGTGTCAGCAGGTAGAGCAGAACACAGCGAGGAAACGGCCAATTTGACCACAGGCCCCCCGCCCCGGCCCTCCAACCAGAACTCAGAAGCAGGGAGCAAAAAGAGAGACGGGGACCTGAAAAGACATCTCTGTCACCAAACTGTCCAATCGGCGTAATAGCAGTGAGAGGTTTTGCAGTCACAAGGTGTTATTAGGTAAACACTACACTTTAGCTACAGTTTATTTTAGGATGTGAGTGAGTAAGTTTTGTAAGGGGTTGCAACCTTATTGGTCCGTTTAGGAAAACGCAGGTTGTTAATTAGCAGCAATAAAGGATACAAATGTAAAAATGTGATGTATAATGAATTAATGTATTAATTAAATAATCTCAATTATTATTCGTAATAAATTACCAAAAATGGGTTGTTGAAGTGTTTTCATAGTTGCAAATTAGGTTTATATTTCAGCTTGGCATTTGCCCCCTTTTAAGCGACATAGCCTCATTAGGTTGCTGTAACATCGTATGCATCGTAAGCATCGTATGTGACGAGAAGACGACATCAATTTGGCAGGAGAACAACCTGATATCTGAGACTGGCCAGACACCATGACCGATGCACTGACATCGGTGCATCTCAAATCTGAAAGCAAATTGTTCAATTACGTTGTGGTTATGATAGCATTAGCCATGCTAATATTATCTTAGCATGAAGAAGTTGGGGTGCACCAATACCAACATTGGATATTGGGCTGGTGCTGACTCAAACAGCTGGATTGGTATTGGTGACAATGGGGCTAATTTATTAAATTCTATATTTATATATCAAACATTATATACTGGAATCCTGTTTAAGTTTTAAAACATTTATAAATGAATTGTAATAAAT